TGCTGCCTCCTCCCACCTCCCGCTGCCTCCTCCCGCCTCCCGCTGCCTCCTCCCGCCTCCTGCTGCCTCCTCCCACCTCCCGCTGCCTCCTCCCGCCTCCTGCTGCAGGCCTTGGGGGCAGCAAGCGAAGACACCAGTGCACTGCACCAGTCGCTGCTCCTGGATCGCTAGCTGTAGCCATCACTGGCACTTGGGGCATGAGCAGCAGGCGGGGGCTCTCTCCCTAGCCATCCTTCCATCCCTCGGCCTCTCAAAAAGAAACATGTTGATATGTACATTATGTATGCATATAGCATGTGTTTGTGTATGTGTGTGTCTTCTAGGGAGGCCCAGTGTGCTGTATTTGAGTTGTGGGTACAGAGCCGTACTAAGGATCACGTGGGTTAGTCCGCTGCCTGGGAGAGCAGGTGCACGTGGGGCCTGGGCTGCGTCCCGCTGGATGGAGCCTTTCTCTCCTTTGGAATGGGTGCTGAGGCCCTTTGCTGGAGACCACGGGGAAATACCTGCTGTGCTTTCTGTTATACAGAAGGAATCAGCTTTGTTTCCTTGGCCCTTTGAGGAAGGCAGGAGTTTGTGGTGTAGCCAAAGACTGTGGGGAGATGGGGCCAGCAGGATGGCTCAACTGACCAATCCTCCAGTGCCAGCCTCACAGGGGCACTGGTTCACATCCTGCTGCTGCACTTGCTGTCCAGCTCCCTGCCTGTGGCCTGGGAGAGCAGCGGAGGACGCCCCAAGCCTTGGGATCCTGCACCCGCATGTGGGACCTGAAGGGGCTCCTTGCCTCATACCGGCCTAGCTCTGAGTGGCCGTTTGGGGAGTGAGCCAGCAGGTGTAAGATCTTTCTCTCCCGGGGAAAGGTGACAGGAGGAAACAGACTGGAGGGAAGCGAACGGGTCCGGAGGTTCCTGGTGAGACTTACCCGGTGAGGGGCTTACTGGGCACCTCTCCCTCCTCCTGATCTCTTCCTGTGGCCCATTAACCATGTTTCCACGTGCATGGTTGTTACCTGGTTGCCAGCTAACTTTCTAAAAGCTCTTCATTGTGGAATAATTACGGGTTTATAGGAAGTTGTCCCCCAGCTTTCCTCAGCTGGTGTCCCTTAGCCAGGGAAGTGCCACAGCCAGGCCCTCCAGCAGCCTCTCCCGCCCTGCTCGCCTCTGAAGCGGACAGCCTTCACTGCGCCTCTCTCTAGCCTTGTCGTCTCAGGGACCCGCGGTGCCGGCCTGTGGATGACCTTGTCCTGCAGCACGCGGCCTAGGATCGTGCCAGCGCTGCCAGCTCTGGATGCAACGCGGGGTGTTTCTGTTCGGCCTGCAGTGGGTACAGCTGCCGGGAACAGCCCCACGCAGGCTGTGTGTGGACTGCTACTGTTTTTCTGGAGTAATTGCCCAGGGGCGAGGTCACAGAGTTGCATGGTAGGTGTGCGTTGGGTTTGTAAGGCTCCACCACGTGTTTTCGGAGTGGGCCCTGCCGACAGAGCTGCAGGCCACACATGGGTGTCCTGGCCGCCGCGCAGTGCGAGCAGCTGCGTGTGCGTCTGCTCCCCCGGCCGAGCACCTCTGCACGGCACGTGGCTTTTGTCTTCTGCCCCGGAACTAGATTCTCTGCTGCGGCAACTGTTGGCTTCTGGGTGCTCTTGTTATATTCCAAAGATGAGTCATCTGCTCCGCTTTTCTCCCAGTCTGGCTCTTCGCTTTAGCTTCTTCTTTTTTAAAAATATTTATTTATTCCCATTGGAAAGTCAGTTATACAGTGAGAAGAGGCAGAGAGGAAGATCTTCTGTCCGGTGATTGACGGCAATGGCCGGAGTTGAGCCGATCCAAAGCCAGGAGCCAGGAACTTCCTCCAGGTCTCCCAGGCGGGTGCAGGGTCCCAAGGCTCTGGGCCGTCCTCCACTGCTTTCCCAGGCCACAGGCAGGGAGCTGGATGGGAAGCAGGGCTGCTGGGATTAGAACCGGCACCATATGGGATCCTGACATGTGCAAGGCAAAGACTTCAGCCGCTAGACTAGCATGCCAGGCCCTCTTTTTAGGTTCTTAGGAAAGATCTTTTTACCAAACAAGAGTTGTTAGTTTTGACAAAGTCCAATTATCTTTCATTAATGAAGCAAGCATTTGGAGTCGTGTCTAAGAACTTTCACCCATTTTGAGCTAGTTGTGTGTAAGTCCATGAGGTTGGGCCAAGGAGTTTTTGGTCTGGGTGTCCCACGGCTCCAACAGCGTCTGCTTTTACCCGGCTGATCCCTTGGCCCTGTTAGAGGGATGAGTTAGGAAGGTGAGTCTGCGCTGCGCTCGGCCACACCCCCTGCTGACAGCCACACCCCTGCTGGCGGCCACACCCCCTGCTGATGGCCACGCCCCTCTGCTGGTGACCACACCCTCTGCTGACAGCCACACCCCTGCTGGCGGCCACACCCCCTGCTGGCGGCCACACCCCCTGCTGACAGCCACACCCCCTGCTGGCGGCCACACCCCCTGCTGATGGTCACGCCCCTCTGCTGGTGGCCACACACCCTGCTGGCCACCACACCCCTCTGCTGATGACCACACCCTCTGCTGAAGGCCACACCCCTCTGCTGATGACCACACCCTCTGCTGGCAGCCACACCCCCTGCTGGCGGCCACACCCCCCTGCTGGCGGCCACACACCCTGCTGACGCAGCTGCATGGCGGACCTCCCACGGTACTGCCTCCCGCTTGCACTTTTCAAGCTTGCTTCAACTGATCCTGCACTTAATGGAAATTTTAGAATGGGGGTGAGCGTTGGGCTCAGCGGTTAGGACAGCCCTGGGACACACTCGTCCTGGCTCTGCTCCCAACCCAGCCTCGTGATGCAGGAGATGGCGCCTCACGTCCGGGCCCATGGCGCCCACGCAGCACTCCTGGCCTGGCCCCGCCACCCCGGCTGCTGCAAGCCTTCGGAAGGTGAGCCGTGGGCAGGAGCAGTCTCTGCTTTTCAAGTAAAGTGACAGTAGTTGTTAAGACACGGTAGAAGCTCTTGCTGTGATTACATGGTGTGGTCGCAGTCCCTCAGGCCTGTTCACCGCTCAGGGAAAGTTACTGTCAGCGTCATTCTTGCAATCGTGGGCATGGTGCTTGTCTTCACTTACCAAATGCTGTTTTACAGTCAAGATTTTAAACTTGTCAGCACATAGGTTCTATAAATAGTTTATTAGATTGATGCCTTTTTGTTTTTAAAAAAAAAAAAAACTACTTTTGAAGGCCTGAGATCCAAATAGAGACCCCGGTCCCGAGCTTGACTCCCTGCACACCCGTCCCAGCCAGGCCAAGGCCGGGGCCTGAGACGCAGTGGGCTCCCCAGCTGTGAGCCCCCGTGCCTCCTGTTGCGCTGTGTGAGCAGGGAGCCCACAGCCACAGCACCGCATGCGAGTGGTCGCTGGTGTCACGTCTTCAAAGGGCAGTTTCCGCCTGTTCATCGCGGGTACAGAGGGTCACCTGTGTGTGAGAGCTCGCCACACGCGTGCTGTCCCTGATGGACTCCCAGGCTCTTAGCTAAACATGGCGTCTGCAAGCAGCTGGGGTTCTTTTTTCCTCTTTTACTCCTGACTGCCTTCTCCCACTCGTTGTTAGCTCTTTGCTGTGTGGTAAAGGGGGCACACCCACTGACTCGGTCTTGGAACATCAACTGTTGATGCCAGTGTTCTTCACCGGGTTGAAGGAGTCTAACCCTCGTGGCCGGGTTTCGTCACAGTCGGGGTCACTTTGTGTCTGCCTGTCCCCCTGGCCAGATTCTGTCATTCACGCACTGCCGATAGGTGTGGCTCATGACTGCAGGTGGGTACAGCTGACAGACTGCTGAAGGACGTCTGCTTGGTGCCTGAAGGCAGACAGGGCCCTGTGCAGCGCCCGTAGGAGCCTCTGCCCAGGCTGTCTCAGGCACAAGTAAGTGGCCCCTGCTGGCATCGTTGTGTCCAACTCAGGATTCAGGGCAGGAGTAGAGGCCGCATGCTTCGTCCCTCTGTGCCCGGTGCCGGAAAGGAAGCTGGGGGTGGGGAGCAAGTGCCCACCAGGACCCTTCCGTCGCACACGTCAGACGGACCAGTCATATGGCATATAAGTCATCTCACAGGGAAAGAAAGCAGGCAGGCACCTGGCGGTCAGCAGGGACCCTGACAGGCGTCCGGCGGACAGCAGTGGCCCTGACAGGCACCCTGTGGGCAGCAGAGGCCCTGGCTTCCCTGTCTAGGAGGCCAGTGTAGCACCCAGCCTGTCCTGAGTCCCGGGAGACCCTCGGCACAGGAGGCTTCCCCTCATGGCCAGCATAGAGCGCACCCACAGCAGGCCGGTTCCCATAGCCCTGCGCAGACCAGAGACTTGCCAGCACTGTCCTGCTGTAGACTGCTCCCCACCCCCCTGTGAGGTGAAGAAGGCTGACCTGGGCTTTAACAGGGAGGAAACAGCCAAAGCATGTGCTGGAGTTTGTCCTCCTCACCAGCATGGGTGTGAGCTCTGGAGAGCACGCTGTGCAGCCCCTGCTTCGTGGGCACTCCAGGGCCCATGGTGGGCGTCTTTTTCACTGGTCAGTGTGGAGTAGGCAGAGTGCCCATCTGGCAGCCAGGAGCCACCAGGGTCGGCGTACGGCCTGAGTGCATCCTCTTGGGAGTGCCGTGGCATCCCCATGAGCAGCCGCTTGCTGTCACATGCAGGCTTTCCCCGTCAGAACTCCAGGCGACGTTGAGTTTGCCATGTGGTGGTGTCGGGAGGCACTGAGGGGCTTCGTGCTGCTTGCTTGCCTGGGAGTCAGGCTGCCCCCCTACCCCCGCAACCCTCACATCATGTCGCATGTCACAGCACAGACGCCCCGGCCGGAGCACCTGCCTGGCCCACAGAACCAGGACGGGGTGGCATCTTTCTGTCCAGATCACTCGTCTCAGACACTGCTTTCGCATCGCAGCAGGCCAAGACCCATGCCGTGCCAAGCGTCTCTGCCGTACTTTGGTTTCTTGAAGCATAATTGAGTTTTCCCCTTTTATTTCCTAGGGCTCCAAGGTTCTTGTGGATGCGCGAGACAAGCTTGGCATCCCTTGGCAGTATTCTGAAAATGAGAAGCACGGCATGTTCCTGATGGCCTTCGAGAACAAAGCCGGGCTGCCTGTGGAGCCGGCCACGTTCCAGCTGTACGTGCCCGCGCTGGGCGCGCTCTGGAGGGACTCTGGCATCAGGGAGGCATTCAGCCGCAGGAGCGAGTTCCAGCTGGTGAGTACATGCCCCCGCCCTGGGGCTGCCACGCAGGGCTCCTTCACGTGGGGGATGTGTGCAGTCCCTGCACCGTGGGCCTGTCACGCAGGGCTCCTTCACATGGGGATGTGTGCAGTCCCTGCACCGTGGGCCTGTCACGCAGGGCTCCTTCACATGGGGATGTGTGCAGTCCCTGCACCGTGGGCCTGTCACGCAGGGCTCCTTCACGTGGGGATGTGTGCAGTCCCTGCACCGTGGGCCTGTCACGCAGGGCTCCTTCACGTGGGGATGTGTGCAGTCCCTGCACCGTGGGCCTGTCACGCAGGGCTCCTTCACGTGGGGGATGTGTGCAGTCCCTGCACCGTGGGCCTGTCACGCAGGGCTCCTTCACGTGGGGATGTGTGCAGTCCCTGCACCGTGGGCCTGTCACGCAGGGCTCCTTCACGTGGGGAATATTTGAAGTCGTTGTGTCGTGGACCTGTCACGCAGGGCTCCTTCTGATCGGGGTAGGACTGATGCGTAAAGACCATATAAATGTCTGGGAAAGCTATGCCTTGCTCCAAGTCCTGGCATTCAACGATACAACACATGGTAGAGGCAAGTAAAGCAGTCTGGGAGGAGGCAGAATTCACACGGGCCGGGTACCAAGGGGCCAGCTGACTCTCACAGAGCTCCCAGGCGGAGCAACTCCAGGGGCTCCAGCCTTTCTAGATGTTGGCCTGTGGTTATGCCTCCCGGTAGGCAACTCCGCAGCTGCCGAGTGTGGCTGTGGGCGGAAGTGCAAATGTCTGGGAACCTGGCTGGTCACTTGAGTCCTTGAGACAGGTGGAGTGCTGACCCTAGCAGCAGAACATTCCGGATGTCTTCTTTTGTTTTGCTTTTCAATATTGACTCCTTTCAAAGAGAAGTGCCCAGAGTTGGGTCAGGATGCCCACTGGCCCTCACACACACCAGGGCTCCAGATAGGCACGTGAAGGGCACAGCCCTGGCCCTGACCCTGACCCTGGCCCTGGCCCTGACCCTGCCCTGACCCTGGCCCTGGTCCTCACACACACCAGGGCTCCAGATAGGCATGTGAAGGGCACAGCCCTGGCCCTGACCCTAACCCTGGCCCTGACCCTGGCCCTGACCCTGGCCCTGGTCCTCACACACACCAGGGCTCCAGATAGGCACGTGAAGGGCACAGCCCTGGCCTGGAGCTTCCAAGCCCCGCATCTCCCCTTTATGGTTTGGCTGTGATGTGTGTGTGTGCGTTCTCCTGTGGTTTACCATTGTAGTGTGTTTGCACGGTCTGTGCCAGTAGGTGCTCCTTAGTACGGCTGTGCAGGCATCGGTGTACTATCGGAACTGCACTGTCTTCCTTGACTGTCTGATGCGTGTGGTCAGTGGTTTCTGCAGGATGGAGGCCTTGGGATAGAATTCCCCAGTCACAGGGTACACTCCTCCCAACAGACAGCTTCCTGAAGTGGCCGCCCAGCAGTGGGCGCTGCCTTGAGGCCTCACGTCCATGCCCGGATTTAGTACTGGGAGGCTTTTATCTCATTCTGGTTTATTTGACAGTTCCCCACGTGTGTTGTCTGCATTTTCCGCACTGATCTGCAGTGCTCTGCAGTCTGCTCATCTCAGTTCGGTGTCCCTGTTTTGTTTTGTTTGTCTGTTTTTCAGTTTCCCTAATGTGGACCTGCTGTGTAACCATAGTGTAGTTGTCAAAACTAGGACATTCACCCTGGTGTAACACTAGGAATGAATGGTAGCCCTTACCTGAACTCAGCCTGTCATGCTGCGAGTGTGCTCAGATGCTCTGTTGTACTGTCTCCACCACCCGCAGTTTGCCACACCTCCTCCATCTTCCCTCGTCTCGCGTGGTGGTGACCTGCAGGGACACTGGTTGTCTGTAGGACATCCCTGTGCAGGTGTCCCACTGGAAGGAGGTGAGGCGTCAGCTCGGGCAGCACCTCCGCCCTGCTGCCTCGGCTGCTCACCTGGCCCTGGCTCACACTAGGCGGCTGTGCGTCCATCCTGCCTCTCCTTAAGCCTTTGTCCACCAGGTGGACGGGGTGGTGCTCCCCCACCCCTTCATCAGCACATCCTACCTCTGGCCAGTCAACAGTGAAGGGGAAGGAGCTGAGTAGAAGCCAGGCAAGACAGCTCCCGGGCCAGTCTGCAGCAGTCAGCCGTGGGTGTGTGTTCACCCGGGCCAGTCTGCAACAGTCAGCCGTGGGTGTGTGTTCACCCGGGCCAGGCTGCAACAGTCAGCCGTGGGTATCTGTTCACCCGGGCCAGGCTGCAACAGTCAGCCGTGGGTGTGTGTTCACCCGGGCCAGTCTGCAACAGTCAGCCATGGGTATCTGTTCACCCAGGCCAGTCTGCAACAGTCAGCCATGGGTGTGTGTTCACCTGGGCCAGTCTGCAGCAGTCAGCCATGGGTGTGTGTTCACCTGGGCCAGTCTGCAACAGTCAGCCGTGGGTGTGTGTTCACCCGGGCCAGTCTGCAACAGTCAGCCGTGGGTGTGTGTTCACCCGGGCCAGTCTGCAACAGTCAGCCGTGGGTGTGTGTTCACCCGGGCCAGTCTGCAACAGTCAGCCGTGGGTGCGTGTTCACCCCGGGCCAGTCTGCAACAGGCAGCCGTGGGTGCGTGTTCACCCCGGGCCAGTCTGCAACAGGCAGCCGTGGGTGCGTGTTCACCCGGGCCAGTCTGCAACAGGCAGCCGTGGGTGCGTGTTCACCCGGGCCAGTCTGCAACAGTCAGCCGTGGGTGTGTGTTCACCCGGGCCAGTCTGCAACAGTCAGCCGTGGGTGTGTGTTCACGGTCACGCTCTCCACCAGAACGTGGACAGACTGAAGTCTCCTGTCCCAGAGTGGCTGAGTCAGCAGGGTTTCGTCATTTGCCTTACCCCACTGGTGCGGTATGTCAGGGCTGTGGGGACCTCTTCGCTCAGTGAATCTTGGAGATAACACGAGGAGGGACTTGCTTGTGCCCCATGTCGGAAGTCCCAGCAGTGTGCACCTCAGGCCCAGCCTACCCCCTGCCGCCGTGTGCACTAGTCACCCAGCACTGAGAGCACGCTTGCTGTGTGCTGGACACCGGCAATGCAGTGGGGAACAAGACCAGAGACCCCTGTCCCCGAGGGCGAGTGGGCCTGCTCGGCCGTTGGCTGACTTGGTGTGGTTGGGGGACTAACGGTGAAGCCTCAGCTGACAGTGGCAGGTGCCAGGTGGCGCTGGCAGGGGCTGTGTGCCTTCAGAGCCCGGCGCTCATCTCAGCAGCTTGGTGACGTGAATTTAGGTTCTGCCTCCTGGCTCACCAGGCCCCAGAGCAGGGGCCGCATGTCGCCGACCTGCAGCGCCAGCTGTCAGCCAAGACAGCGTGCCGCTGCCCGGGAGCTCCTCCTGGGCCTCAGGAAGGGTTACTGGATGTAAACGTGACATGCAGTAGAGTAAGACCGCCATCGCGAGGGTCTATGGGTGGCCCAATGTTTTAATCTGCTTCAAGGACACGATCTTTAGACGATACAGTACATTTTAGTACATTACACGTGCTCGTGAAAAGCACGTGTGACAGTGTTCACACCTGAGTGGTCAACATAGATATGTTATGCCCAAACGTGCATTTCTGTGTTCTTCTTTTTCAAAATCTGTATGGACTGTTTTATCGGCATGATTAAGTAGTAGGTCCCAGCCGTCCTGGCCGAGGTGATTGCTGGCAGCACCCGCCCGCCTCGGCAGCCGCCCGCAGGGTGGCAGAACCCTCCAGGGCATGTGTTTCTGCTCTTCCCTCACCCTGGCGTGCCAGGGAGACCCAGTGTGACCAGCCAGATGCTGGACTTTTCCTCCTCCCAGTGGCCCTTGGGTTCTCTAGCCCTCTTAGAGCCAAAAAACAGAAACAAAAGAAAAAGCAAAGGCAGCGCTTTGTCCTCTGTGGGGAGTGGAGTGGCCCTGGCAGGAGAGCGTGGCTCCCCGAGCGAGCGGCCTTGCCTTCTTACGAAAGCCGTGTGCCTGCCGCCCATGTCCGCTGCAGTCTGCATGCAGGATGTGGCGTTGCTTCCTTGGTGCAGTGAAGCAGAAGGAGCGGGACGCTGCCCTGTTAGACGGGGACGGCGCCAGCTTGACAGCTGCCTGGTGCCTGCAGCCAGCTCCCCGGAAGTGGAGCCCGGGCGGCAGGCCGTGGTTCCCGAGGTCCCGGGAAGCCTTGTCAAGCTGGGAGCATCGCGGGCTCTCGGGGACTTGGAAGTTGGATCCCTTGGTTCGGCAGCCCCGTGGCTTCCTGTGCTGCGGCCGTGAGCGGACACTGCTGTCCCTGGGGCTGGGGAGCTGGACGGGGTGTGTGCTGCCTTGCGCTGCTCCTTCCTGCTTCGTACTCCCTGGTTGCTTAGATAAACTCTTGGGTTTGAGTGGGCTCGGGCCCAAGGGTCTCTGCGGAGAGGACTCAGTTCTGAAAGCTCACTGGCGATGCACTGTGCGGGTGACTTGGAAGCCCCGAGGGAGGCAGCCGTGAGTGCTGTGTGTACGGCGCTGCTGCCGTCAGACCAGCGTGCAAGCCCTCCAGGAGGGAAGCCTTTCTGTGGCTTAGTGCGTGGCGTGCCCAGCATGCACAAGTGCGGTCTTAACTGTTGTGACATCTGGTGCCTCAGCCTCGGTCCGGGAGGTGCCCTCCCCTCTGCCAGCTGCTCTGTGCCTGTCGGGTAACGCTCTGGGTGAGTCGTGTCCCACATGCTCCGCCGTGTTCTGGAACAGCCTTGGCTGGTGCTGAGTGGGAGTTCTGCCTGTGTGGGAAGGAGCGGTCACCGCGCAGTGGCCAACACCACCAGGCAGCGGTCCTCGGCTGGTGTGCTTGGCCCTCACTAGCAGAGTGCCGGCCCTGGAGTCCAGGCTGATGGAGAGAAGAGGTGGCTTGTTGCTGCAGCAGCACGTGAAGCACAGGGCCTTTGGCAGAGAGAGGCTGTTGGCACATTTCCTGGAAGGACAGCGGCTGAGGGGGGGCGGGCCCAGCAGCAGTGCCGGTCAGACCACAGGTGTG